CCTTTAACAAAGCCTTCATAATAACATAAAAATGGAAGTCGTTTAGATGTCTTAAAATAAGGGTTCAACTAAAATGACCTAATTCTAGCTGTCCACATCCTTTCCTTTCTACTGGGTTGCAAAACCCTTTTCATTTAGCACACTGGGTAAATAAGGGCTCTTCCTGGAGGCAGCAGAGGCCAGAGCTCTGCCAACAATTTTAATACAGCATAATTCTTCCTGTAAGTGGCCGAGGCTTTTGCAGAAGGTAAATATGTATGGAGGATTAGCAAAGAGAGAAGGTATGAAATACAGACAGCAGCTATGGCAGTTATGCCCACAATCATGCCTAATTTTGCCCAACAATTTTTATTCCTACAATTCAAGCTCCCCATTCACATTATTCCCAGACATTGCATTTGAAACAAAGGTGCTTCATCTGCAACACCAGGACACTCATTTCAAAGAAAAGCAAAGTTTTTTCCAGTCTCTTTAAAGCTCTAAACCAGGCTTTTATAGCGCTGATGAGATGCCAAACTTGACAGAATTTAACCTACTAACATTAAACTCATTTTTTTTTTGCTTGTCTCCTTAGGACTCGCTGTTGGTGGGAATTTCCAGCTGCAGACCATACTGCTTGAGGCCTCCATTCACATTCCAAAGAAAATCCTCTGTCAAAGGTGACAGAAAGATTGGATGGGAAGAATTCAAGATGGGAAGGACTGCAGTGTGAAAGGTGGAAGATACAAACTAGAAACCTCTGACTTGCCTGATGTCAGGAGAATACACAACGCAACCCATTCCCACTTCTYGCCTTCTCTGCTTTCATTTAAATGCTGCTTTAATCTCCTCACTCTTTTTAGCTTAAGAAACTACTGAACAACAAAGATATTCAAAGGAAAAAATGCGGTACTGCCCAGGCCCCAAAACAGGAGCACAAAAGCTCAATGCAAAGGAAGCGTAGGTATTTTCAAAATATAAATAAAATTAATACTATTTTTATTTAAATAAAGACATTAAAAATATTTGCATAATACCTGT